AACGGCCCTTCAGGACGTGAGTCACAAACTTGAAGATTATCAGCACTTCGACACAGACCAATAGGATGCTGAAAGGCTGTGGTTTGAATTCAGGAATAACCTGCTGGGCTGGATTCTTGACTTCTGAACTAACAGGACACACACAGTGAGAGGAAATGAATTCAGTCTGACCAAGTTTGCTCCCCTACTGGCTCCCTCAAGGATTGTAAGTAAGTAAGTAAAGCTTATTATAAAGCGCTTTTCTCAGATAAAATCACAATGTGCTGTACAAAAGATTAAATTTAAAAAAAACAGTATAAATGTATATAAAAATTAAAATAAAAAATTTAATTAAAACGACACTAGTGAAGACCCATCAACCAAAAGCCTTCTTGAATAGACATGTTTTCAGATCCTTTTTAAAAGAGACAACAGTGTCTGCCAGACGCATGGACAGGGGCAGAGCGTTCCACGGTCTGGGAGCAACAGACTGAAATGACATGTCCCTTCGGGTCTTAGGGACTGTAAGCTGGTTCTGGCCAGAGGACCGAAGAGTGCGGTCAGGGAATACGGTTTCAAAAGGTCCAGGATGTAATGTGGGGCCTGACCATTTAAGGCTCTGTAAGTCAGCACTAAAATCTTAAAATCAATCCTGAATTTTACAGGGAGCCAATGGAGGTCCATTATCTTTGATCAGGACATGTCGTTTAAGTCCACATTAAGCAAATTTCAAGGACCGCCTTTTTTCACCTACGTAATATTGCGAAAATCAGGAACATCCTGTCTAAAAATGATGCAGAAAAACTAGTCCATGCATTTGTTACTTCTAGGCTGGATTACTGCAATTCCTTATTATCAGGCTGCTCGAAAAAGTCCATTAAGACTCTTCAGCTGATCCAGAATGCTGCAGCACGTGTTCTGACAGGAACCAGGAAAAGAGATCAATTTCTCCTGTTTTAGCTTCTTTGCATTGGCTTCCAGTAAAATCCAGAATAGAATTTAAAATCATTCTTCTTACCTACAAAGCTCTTAATGGTCAGGCACCATCTTATCTTAAAGAGCTCATAGTACCTTACTACCCCACCAGAGCACTGCGCTCCCAGAATGCAGGGTTACTTGTGGTTCCTAGAGTCTCCAAAAGTAGACTAGGAGCCAGAGCGTTCAGCTATCAAGCTCCTCTCCTGTGGAACCAGGTTCCAGTTTGGGTTCAGGAGGCAGACACCATCTCCACATTTAAGAGTAGGCTTAAGACTTTCCTCTTTGATAAAGCTTATAGTTAGGGCTGGCTCAGGTAGTCCTGAACCATCCCTTAGTTATGCTGCTATAGGCCTAGACTGCCGGGGGATTTCCCATGATGCACTGAGCTCCTCTCTCCTCTACTTCTCTCCCTCTGTATGCAACCTTATCCCATTATTGCATGTTACTAACACAACTTCTCCCCTTTCCGGTAGTCTTGTGCTTTCTCGTCCTCTCCTCTCTCCTCCTATCACTTCCTGCAGGTTTTCTGGCTCTGGAGCTGTGGAGTCTGGATCTGTGGTTGCGGGTCACCTGCTGCCCCCGTGTTCCTGCTCGACACCCTCTGCTGCAACGACTATTGTACTAGTCCTATTGTTATTATTGTTATTATAATCATTAACATTACGATTGTTATCATTAACACTATTATAAATATCTGTACCATTTTTCATTTAGTCTATAGCAACATCACCTTCGCTGTCTGTACCTCTGTGTGTATATTGTGTAGGCTGCCTCCCTCCCCTCTCTCTCTCCTTACATCCTCTCTCTTCTCCTCTTTCTCTCTCTCTCTCTTTCTCTCTCTCTCTCTCTCTTTCTCTCTCTCCTTCACCCCAACCGGTGGAGGCAGATGGCCGCCCACCCTGAGTCATGGTTCTGCTCGAGGTTTCTGCCTCTTAAAGGAAGTTTTTCCTTGCCTCTGTCTCCTAGTGCTGCTCTTGGTGGGAACTGTTGGGCTTCTGTAAATATCATCATAGAGTACGGTCTAGACCTGCTCTTTTATGAAAAGCGCTGTGAGATAACTGTTGTTGTGATTTGGCGCTATATATTATTATTATAATTATATATTTATAACAACTACTTTTCATTGTCTAATATGATTATCGTGTTTCAATTCAAAGTGTCATACTGCAGTAAAATATATGACTTTAGTTGGTTTACAAAAAATTACATGAAATAACAGGATTGTTGCACTTTTACACTTTTGTTTGATACAACCAGATAACTTTAAATGACCAACAAGGTAACCATAGCAACAGCTCTCAGTTAAGGAGATATGAGTTTAAAACTCCCTAAAGCTGCTTTGTGAAACCCAAGTAACTACAAACCAACATGTCCTCAACCTTCAGCTATTTCACCTTTTTAAGCTGCCATCAAACAACGACTCATCACAACCCGTTAACCTATCACGCGACATCACGCGCCTCTCCTGTTTCCTGTTTAGTTTCACTTTCTGTGAAGTTGTTGCGAAGATATTTTTCTACACCTGAACCTCCAGCTGAAGGTAATGTAACATGTTTGAAAAACAGAAATCTGCCGCTCGATGCTTCATTTCTTCAAACACTCTGAGTTTCTTTGTGAACTCGGGACAACTTTACAAATGTCCGCCATGCTGTGGATACTTGGGAGTAAACAGTGGAGTTACGGCAGAAGTTAGTTTATGCTCAGGAGTCGTTATTTACTGTGTAGCTCCACTTTCTGATGAGTGAAGGCAGCTTTTCCTGCCTGAAGCAGCCTGTGGAGGAGGCGGAGACGAGCCGCTGCTCTCCCGCTGTCTGAGACTCTAACACCGGACAGCCGCTGGAGAACAGCTGCTAGTGTCTGTGAATGCTGTCAGGAGATTTACCTGCAGGACAGATCAGATCAGACTCAGTCTGCAGGCAGAGGGGGGCTCCCAGCTTTCTGAAAGCTCAGTAGCTTCTTCACAAAGACCATGAACTTATATCAGTTTGAACTTAAATCTGATCAATAATCAAATCAAAGAGATTTCCGTTCAATCTATCTTTATTATCTTCAGGAAGCACTTCATTGAGACAGTCAATCTTATATTTTGTTAGGAGCTATCTGCTTGTAATTCAGTAGTGGAAAGTAAATAATCCAGTACTGTAGGCTACCTAAGTGCAACCTTGAAGTAGCCTATTTTTAGTTTCCATGAGTAGCTTATTTCTGCTCCTTTCTACATCACAGAGATAGCCTACATGACTTTTTACTTCACAACATTTTGTTACTATTCAGATTAAGATTTAAAATACAAATCAAATGATCAGTTTCTAAATTAAGATCCAATATTAAACATTAAACTAACCCAAAATATGAAAACCAGTTCTGGTTCCACCTCCACCAGCTTACACCACCAACAAAAAAGTAGGCTACTTGTCACCCCCCAGTTCTTGCCTGACTGCATTGTGCCAAGTGTAAAGTTTGGTGGAGGGGGGATTACGTTTGGGGATGTTTTTCAGGGCTTGGCCCCTTAGTAGTGAAAGGAACTGTTAATGCTTCAGCATACCAAGACATTTTTGGACAATTTCATGCTCCCAACTTTGTGGTAACAGTTTGGGGACGGCCCCTTCCTGCTCCAACACGACTGAGCACCAGTGCACAAAGGGAGGTCCATAAAGACATGGATGAGCGAGTTTGGTGTGAAGAACTTGACTGGCCTGCACGAGTCCTGACCTCAACCCAATAGAACAGCTTTGGGATGCGACACAGGCCTTCTAGTCCAACATCTGTGCCTGACCACACAAATGTGCTTCTAGAAGAATGGACAAAAATTCCCATGAACAAACTCCTAAACCTGGTGGACAGCCTTCCCAGAAGAGTTGTAGAGTTGTTGCTGTTGTAGCTGCAAAGGGTGGGCCAACTCCATATTAGTACACTTAGCCAACAACCTGACCTGGACTATCAACAGCTCTGTTAACTGGGAATTTTGTACTTTTAACTATATTTATCTGACAGCTGTAGTTACCAGTTGCAGATTAAGATTTTACAAACCAAACCTTATAAAACATTATTAAACTAGCCAACAATATAAAAGTAGGTACATATTGATGTGAACTCATTTGGAGAACACCATGACATTCAAAATACTGAGTGAATGACGAAGGAACTGTGTTTAATGCAGTGGTCCTCAAACCCCCTGACTCCAACAAAAATGGATTTCATTTTTAGCAATTAACAATACGGCCCATTGAAATAAAACAGCAGATCCAGGTTAGCAATATAGCCATGTTTGCATCCTTTTTTGTCTATGCCAACACATGAATCACAATTGCTGGACTTGTTCACAAACTTCAAACTGACAATAGTTAAACTGAGAAGCCATCTGTACCACAAGACATAAACACCACCAAAAAAACCATCCTGTCATCTTCTTGTGAAAATCTGTCCTGTTGCAGCCTTTCCTACCTGGCCTGCTGCCATTCCAGGTGTGGCTCTGACTGATTCCAGGAAATCATCTGCGCGTGGATGCCTTTTCTCTGCAGGCGTCAAGTAAGAGTCTTCTTCTCCAACACTTGGACGCTTTGAAGAAACTGTTGCGATAGTTTAACAACAAGTTTGTCTTTAGTCCCTTTAGGTTTTGTTTCTTGCTGTCGAATGTTTGTAGTAGTGGTAGTCTCTATTTTATTAGAGAGTTAGAGAAATCTGCATGTTGTTGGATTATTGATTTACTGGAATCAAACAGTTGGATGAAAAGCTGATGTTTATTTCCTATCTTCAGCTGTCAGAAAACAAACAACATTGGGTTTTTCAAACTATCGTCTCCACCAACATAAAGTCAGATGTTCCTGTCAAATCTGAAAGGGAAGATTGTTTTCTCATTTGAATCCTCGATCTTATTTCAGGCTATTTTGTGCACTGGTGCTCAGTCGTGTTGGAGCAGGAAGGGGCTGTCCCCAAACTGTTACCACAAATTCCTGGATGCCTATGGGATCATGATTATATTATTTGATCCCATAGCCACTCAACATTACAGCCACTTACACAATTTGACACAGGAAAAAAGTGATCTAACTCTGACAACAATGTCAAAATACATGAAATTATTGTCAACACTGAGCCACAGGAAGAGTAGAAAACAAGTGGTAGCCTAATATTCTGCCCGCAACACAGTCAGCTATCAATATGGACACAATCATCCTTCCTTTTGTGTATATTGTAGGCTATAGTAAAACACGATGCAACCACTAAGACCTCTATTTACCAGTTAGTGCTTGTCAATACCTCGTTTTAACGTCGAGCTGCAGCTGCTCAAAATTATGAGGCCAGCGTGGTGTTCCATTGAAGTAGCTTAGTAGATTAGATATCAGTATAAGTCAGGGCTGCAAAGTGCTGCATGAAGTCAAAAGGTGTGTTTGACTTTATGTGGTGCTGCGCAATGCTGACTTAACATGATGCATGCTGGACTTAAAATAAGGCATGCTGGTTAGAAATTGTGTCCGTCACATGATATTCAAACCTCAAAGGGGCTTGGCGGCTGCAAGCAGATGCTTTTCTCCAGCTATACCAACTTAGAACCACCTTTTGCCTGAAGTCCAGCAGCTGATGGCAGCTTCCTCTGCCTCACGCTGCTGTCTGACTGCATTCAGCTGCCACTGATATGAAACAGAAACAAACAGATTTGAGTTGATGTGCAGATGAATGATTTGTGTTTCCTCTCCAGGTGAAAGTGGATGTGAGTTGAGCAGCATGAGTCAGTGTGAGGACAGAGAGGAGGGAGTCCCTCCCTCTAAAAGCACTCTGTGTGGGGAACATGACAGCCAGACCAAAGCTCAGAGGTGAGATGAGGATCTCTAACTGTCCAGGACTCAAATCACTCCACCATCATTATTCACTCTCAAAGCTCTGTGTGTGTTGTGTTGAAGCCCAGAGCAGCAGCAGGGACCAGACTCTGCTGGACCTGGACCTGGACCTGAGCCCAGCTGTGTGTCCTTCAAAAGTGACCGGTCAATGGGTCGCTTGGATAATTTTAAAGGACGACAAACTTCTGCTGCAAAGAGGTGAGTTTTAACAGAATTTTAAATGTAAGTAGTGTAAGTAAATGTAAGTGGAGGGATGGAGGGTGAGAACAGTCACCACACCATGGATTCAAACCGAGGACTACACGGTACCAAACATGCAACTTGACCACGTTAAAGAGCCAGGCTTGTTGGTTTGGCAGTCAGAGCACAAACTCAACCGTAGTGATGTTACTCCGTAACACTCAGCTTAAAATGTTTTATCAAAAACATGTTTAATTTAATTATAGTTCTTTTTCACATGTTCTAATATCAGAAGCAGGGATTGTTGGATTTTACTAAGACCAATTCGCAACATCCAGAGAGTTATGAGGGTTGTCTTTTTTTAGTTACCTTTCCAAAATCAAAAAAGCACAAGTGAAGGTGTATGCGTTTTTCTGCTCTAATGTATAACTGTAGCATGTTGTGTTGTGAGCAGCAGCAGCTACGCACTGTTTTTAATTAATGAGATTATGGCGGCTCACCACAATCTAATTTAATAAAATTAAATAAAATTAAATTAAAATTTTGTCACTTTGTAACAAGTCTGACAGCATGAGAGTCTTACCTGAAGAGAGGCTATTAAGTCTTAATTGTACGCAATAATTGCATAACATACAATATAATTTATCAAATTGCGTTGGTGAATGTAGCGCGAGGATGGAGGATACACATGTGACAGTTTTAAAACTAAGGTGTTGAAACACTAATGTGTTGAAATAATATTAACTGGATTATATTCACAGGAAGTATTAAACATGTTACTTACAAAGTATTCTTTGATTTATGGTTACTGGAAAAAAATTTAATAAATGAATTGACTTTTTTGCTTCATCGCCATTTATATCTGTACAGTGTGTTTATGATCTAAATGTTAACTTGGCCCAGTCGCGTAGGCAGAAATCACAGTGTGGGTGGGCACAGTGAAAATCAGGTGGGCCTAGTTCTCCTCTACAATATAGGATCTAAAGCGTATCCTATGTTGTACTATAATAGCTTAGACCATTACAAATAGTATTGCCTGAATGCATCACAGTTTAATCACACAGGCGTTATTACAGGCACAACATGAACATAACAGCATAGCATAACCGGGCACGGCGGCCACATATTCTCACACAGCAGCAGCATCAGAGCTACACTGCCACCAACATGCGCAGTAACGTTAAAAAATACATTTGAACCTAGCCTGGCACGGCGGCCACATATAAATATATATAAATAGTAAATTACTTTTGATGATTACAGCAGACGACGGGGCTTGGTATTGAACACTGATATAGTCCAACGATTCAGTCAGTTCTCTTTCAAAGGAGAGCAGGGACAAAGAGTTCAGTCTGTGTGTCATCATTGATGCCCTGATGCCAGTTTTTATCCGATTGACAGTTGAAAACAGTCTTTCAACAGAACAGCTTGTTATGGGTAGGGTGACGATTCATTTTGGGAAATATGTCACTAGGACATGCGTCGAGCACCTCCACAAGGGATGGAAAGGTCCTGTCCGCTGTGACCTTTCTCTTCAGCTGCTGTACAAACACTGCATGTTCTGCATCTTCCACATCAATGGAAAAGTGTGTGCTGGCGGGCTGTATTAGTGCCTTGTCACCAAAGGTGTCTGACCGAGGCAAGCACGCAGCAGCGGCTCTCATAAACCCTTTCGTGTCCGCCTTAAAACGAGTGTTCAGTTCCATGATCTGCCTGTCTAATATTTCATTCCATATATTTTTTTAGGTCACAGTCCTTTACAGGTGATGCTTTGCCCATAGTAGATTCAACCTGCATATCGCCCAACTTAGCTGGCAACTTCCTCTTTCGAGACCCGGTGACGTCCCAGTTCACAGTGTCATGTTTCTTCATCAGATCATCTGTCAGTGTCATTACCTGATTAAAGTCATTTTCTGTCCTCCTGAATGTAGTTTTGCTCTCTTTAAGGCCTTCGATTATATCAATGCAATCTGTAACTGATACGATGGAAGATTGCAAGACCTTAGTGGCATAGTCACTCATTTCAAATCATTTGTTGAACGTGACTAATAGAAACACAAATTTTTTTGTTTGCATTTGCTGAAGTAGGGAGTCAGCTTCAAGTTTTGTGTGGCCGGAGCTTTCAGAGAATTCAGCAAGGGTCTCCAAAATTGGGCCCAGAAGTGCCAGGACTTTACTTACTGCACTTGACCATGAGCTCCATCGGACATCGCAGGATCTCTCTAGTTCTAGTGTTGTTTTCCCTGGTCGCAGCTGTTGCTGGATTTCCATAAATATAGCCTGTCTATGTGACCCTGTCATGAAACTATGCAGGTTGTTGATGACCTCGAAAAATGTTGAAATGCTGGGGGACACCTTTGATATTGTGCACAGGACGAGGTTTATGCGATGGGAATTGCAATGCACATATATGGCGTGAGAGAACGTTTGCTTCAAAATCATGTGTACCCCTCCTTTGTTGCCAGACATAACCGATGCCCCATCAAAACCAAAGCCAACGCACAGAGCTGGGTCCAGCTGCAATGGCTCCAGTACTTCCAGGATCTTTGCTGATATAGCATTTGCGTTCATGTCCCCAGTCTGCACAAATCCCAGAGCCCTTTCCTTCAGCTGGCCTTTGGGTATGTATCTGATACAGACTGCCACAAGCTTTTCGTTTTAGTATGTGTCGGTCTCCTCATGCAAATCTCTTTTTATTTTGTGGATAAGTAGCGATGCTGCGATTTCCAGTATCTCATTCAGTATTTGGGGCTCGTAAGTTTCCCGTTTCTTGGCAATTCATCCAGTCGACGTTTTATTTGTGGGTCATAGTTAGCAATTAGTTTAAGTAATTCCAAGAAGTTGCCTCTGTTCAATGCCTCGTCATTTTCACGATGCACACGCAACGGGATATCTTGTTTTGCACAGAATAAAACGAGGTCTATTACAACTTTAATGTGCTCTCTATTCCTTTCCACAAATGATCTGTTCATAGCATCATTGTTCAGCTGGTTGATAATATTTGTCCGTCCAGTCTGGTGGCTTTGCTTGAATCCCTGGGCTCTGCCCAGCGCTGTAGAATGCTCCCTGCTACCCCCGTGTTTAACACAACATTGGGAAATATGTTTCCAGTCATTGAACCCAATTTTAATAAATAAAAGTGGCTGCCTCGGGGAAATGGAGACATGGCTTACAAAACACAGTGTCCCTGGAAGTGCTGTACTCTAGCCATTGAAATCTTTCATACCACCAGACAGAAAAACTTCTAGCTTTGCCTGCTATAGTGGTTACTGGGAATGAATGAACTGCGTTTGGGCTGGGTCGCAGGTTCATCTATATTGGACAGGTCTGATGGGGCTTGTCCTTGGCGCTGTATGTAGGCCTAACGTTACCTGTGCTTTGGCATGGAGGGGTTAATATGTTTGTAGACTCAGGTGCTGCTGCTGACGGGGGAAAGCCTGAATTAGCATCGTGTGTGTTGCTACTACTTGGCACTTCTTGAGGAGAAATCGGTGCAGTAGTAGGTGTCTGGGTTGAAAATAGTGGCTGAACTTGAGGTGAATTCTCTTCCCCTTGTTCCTCACGGCGTCTTTTTGTTACAAACTTGAACAAATTGCTTTGTTTTGCCATGATTATCTAAATTTACATTAAAATAAGCTAGCTATAGCTGAAAACTAGACTGTTTCGTGCAATGCACTCACTGAGTGAAAGAGGAGGGGCTGTTTGCTACCTGGCATTTGCTAAATAATGTGCCATTCAAAAAAATCTGACCTGTCATCATCAAATGGTAAACAAGCAGGAAGAAACAAAATGTTTTGACCGCACTGGATGATCGATCAGTAAGAAAGAAGGCCTTCTGATTGGGTGGGCCTGGGGGTCAAGTGGATGGGCCCAGGCCCAACATGACTAGGCCACAACATCGTTAACAAGAGTGCAAAGTTCTTCATAGATCTAGCGTCTTTAGCAAACGTGTTTTTTCACGAATGTAGTTGACCACATCTAGTGCAGTAGATACAGTTCATGGTGTATTTTTGCTAAATCTACGCCATATAAACTCCCTCAGCCAAGGGTGGAGTGGCACAATAATTCAGGCCAGAAATGTGACTCAATCCTTGGGCATCCTGTTCATGCAAACCACCGGATACAGACCACTAATTTGGTAGAGGTAACCCTATTTGTTGATGTAACGGGTAACAAACTAGGTATGGATTTGGCCACTATGTTCATCTGGGATGAAAGTTATCCACAAAATACAAATATTTCGGACTGACCAACAAGTAGCCTATCTGTTGTTTAGATGTTGTGACAGACTGGGATGCACTCTGTGAGCAACATGGTGAGGACATTGATGGGCTTACTGAGTGCATGACAAACTATATAAACCTCTGTGTGGACTGCACACAGTGATGCTAGTGTTGGGGGTGGCGTGATTACATACAAAGTCAATGCAAAGACACAGAGGGACACGATTTTCTACCGGGCCATTTATTGCAACATAATTACAGCAAAATGTTTATTTTGGGTTCATACAGCTGACTAAAGAAGCCTATCTGAACAGTGAGTTTTTAAGGTATGCTATGGCATTGGGTGCACTCTCAAAAACTGTCAAGACAATAGCCTACACCAATAAAAGCACATATAAATGAGGCTAGACACAAAAACAATTAGCCAAGACTGTTCAAAAAGAGAATGAGATATATCCTACAGAGTTTGCTCAAATGATTATCTCTATATTCAAACATCAGTCAAGTAACACACGTTC